TTCACTGTGCTAATTTTGGTTCTTCTCTATCAGAACCTGTTCCCAGGAAAGGAGCTGGGAAGCTCATTTACATTACATGGAGGTAGCAATGGCTGATACACAGTCTTTCTTAGACATATCTGCATTTTAGGCAAGTGCAAAAAACCTCAGGCCAAAGAAGGAAGCCTTGCTTTTGGAATTGCAATACTGGTGATCAGGAAGGAAGGTTCATTTGGTTTCTACAATCCTAAATGCATAGCCAGCCTTCCATCTATCCCACATTTTGCTGAGGCTAGGCCCACTGCTAAAGAGAAGAACATGATTAGAAAAACTGGACCAATGCATTTTTATGGTTTTACTTGGCATATTTTGGAAAACAATAAAACAGAAAACAGAATTCTCTTCATTCACAAGCAAACAAATGCTGAAGGCAACTTAAACTGAATAGACAACCTCTTTGCAAAGTCTTGAAGTTAGTGGCTCCACCAAAAATATATCTATATTTTCATTTTTAATAAGCTGACAGAAAGTGCATCATATGTCTTTCCTGACATATTTTTAGGCTCCTCTAGATTCATAGTCCATATTGAATCCTAGAATTGGGAAGCAAAGCTCAGTGGATGGTCTTACATTTGTTTGGCTTAAGCTGGTGAATATTAGGAATTCGGAGGAAGGACCATGTCTCTAGTTCCACCTGCCATTACAATCACTCTCTTCACCTGCAACCCATTTCCTGAGGCCATTGCTATGTGGCTGGATGGACCCAGTCATTTGTGTGCCTCATCTACTAGGAGGCTATGAAAAGAAAGCAAAGGACAACCATTGGAGAGCATGAGGAATCTCTGGTCATTTTGTGGGAGATCATAAGAAGGATTCTTTTTTTGTGATCTTAAAGATAAACACATAAAAAGACATGATAATAACTATTCTCACTGGCAGCCCTCAAAAATCTAAAGTCAACATTCCCCCAATTCCAGCTTTTCTCATCACTTGACTTTACAGACCATGCCCACCAAGCAGATGTTCAGAACATCTGACAGTGGACATGTTTTCTGAACACAGAAACAGGACACATGGTCTGAAAACATGTTTTCTTTTTTTTTTTTTTCTGGCTTTTCTAAGGCAAGCCTGGGGATCCAATCACAGCTCTGACATGATTAACTGTGTGACCTTGGGCAACAACCTCTCTGATCACCTGTAAAGTGGCAATGGTTACAGTATCTACCTCATTAGGCTGTTATGAAAATTAAATGAGATACTGTGAAAGTGCTTAGCACAGTATCTGATAAACAGATATAAATGATCAGTAAATGGTAGCTATTATTATGACACATGATTAAAATTTTACAGAAGCATCAGCATGAAACTACATTTAGTTGCCAACTTCAGGAATCACCTTTATAGAAAAGAAGAAAGATACATGAAATTTAGACTGTCGCAGAAAATCCTGGGTGTCTTATCACTGCATCTATAGGTACTGCTTCCCCTTCAGTTTAATAAGGCATCTTTGAAGAAGAGATGGAAAGAAGACAAAAATAGGAGGCAAAGACTACCTTCTCACTAACCGCATAATTCCTTATAGCTGCTGATAAGCTATTTGGAGCTCTGTGGATCTGATTTATGTTTCTAGCACCCATCCGTTTTGCTCTCTGAATATTCTAACTTGAAATTAAACAAATATTTTCATATACTATTTGCTTTCTTTTCTCACCTAAAATGAAAGTGAGAGCTCAAAATTATTGCTTAACTGAAACCCATTGAAATGGAAGAGCATTCAGTTAGTCTAATTAATATTGTTCAAAAGATAACCTACCACTTTACACTTCCAAACACTTTTCCCATGTCTTTTATCTTCATTCACACTCAATGAGGAGGGCAGTATAGGTGTATTATTGTCCATTTACAGATTTAAAAATCTTCCTGAGTGTGGTGGCTCACACCTATAATAGTAGCACTCTGGGAGGCCGAGGTGGGAGGATCGCTTGAGGTCAGGAGTTCGAGACCAGCCTAAGCAACATACTGAGACCTAGTCTCTACAAAAAATACAAAAACTTAGCCAGGTGTGGTGGCTTGCGCCTGTAGTTCCAGCTACTTGGGAAGCTGAAGCAGGAGGATTCCTTGAACCCAGGAGTTTGTGGTTACTGCGAGCTAGGTTGACGCCATGGCACTCTACCCAGGGCTTAGAGTGAGACTCTGTTTCAAAAAATAAAATAAAATAAAAATCTATATTTTCAGAGAGGGGAAGTGATATTTCCAAGGTCACACAGCTAATGAGCAGTGAAAGCAGATGAACGCCCAAGTTTCCTAACATCCAGTCCAAAAATCTTTCCGCTCCACCACACTGCAGCGCACCTTAGGACAGGGGATCATTTCCTTACTGACAGTGAAAGACTCAGGCTTTGGGGGAAAGTTTGAGGCTAATGTATAATCAGTTTCTCATATTAATATCCACCCTTGACTGAGCATTCATTAGGCGCCAGGCTCTGCACTAACCTTTTTCAATGCATCATCTCCTTTAATCTTCACAAAAAGTTTACCAGAGAGGTACTGTCATGCTCCTCATTTCACAGATGAGGAAGTAGTAGCATGCAAAGGTTAAGTGATCTGCTCAACATCTCACACTCATAGTAAGTGATGGAGCCGGTACTAACCGCCCTGGTTCCTGAGTTAAAGTGTTCTTCCTATTACTCCACACTGACAGCCACCTTCAACTCTCCTATTAACAAGGAAGGACTATTATTTTTAAAGATGCTTTAGGGCAAAAGGGTAAGCCAGTCCTCTCTCAATTCCTTATACAGATAGAGGGAGAGAAGTATAGGAAGCAAGCACTTCATGCCTAATCCCAAAGCCATGAGTGTGCTACTATGGAAGGACAGTTAGGGATGCAGAGTCCAGCAGAGAGAACTCAGGGGTAGGGGTATATCCTCTCTCACCTCTTCATGCCTTGCACTACAGTCGCAGCTGGCTCTCAGCCAAATAGAAGGGCAAAGTAAAAGTAGTCTATAGCTGCCTTCCTCCCATGGTGAGCCTGGGGCCCTGACATGTTCCAACCCACCCACCAGAGCCCTCATCAAAACTGCCCTGTTGCCTTTTCCCTATAACTCTGCTAGATGCCTAGAGCCAAATTCAAGTGCTCATGGCTGGGGAGGACAATGGTTGCCCACTTCAGTGACATTTGCTTTTTTAAGAGCCTTGGAAGCCTTCACCTTTGAGCCTCTGAATAGGGGATGCAGGAGTAGCTCTGCTTGCCGCCCCTCCCATTCAAATCTGAGGTGGGGACAGCCAGTTAGGAGGGGATGCCAAAGGGTTGCCTTGGCTAACTCACTTATAATTGAAAGTTGCCCATCCTCATTTTCTTGCCTCCAGAAATCCTCCCCTGGGGATACAAATATGTGCAAATCACCCTAAAGATGGGACAAGTGAAACTCCAAGTGCACATGTAGACTGGGAAAGGGAAAAATCAGTTCATTATTTCAAGACCTCTTGAGATGCTGTAAATACACAGTCAACACAGAACAAAGATCCCTTTTTCCCCCCTTACATTATTTATGTGCCATCTAAAAATTACATGCCCGTTCTCTTTCCAGTGCTAAGAGAGAGAAACATGCATATTCATGATCTGATAAATATTTAAGTGGGATTTATTTAAATGAGAGAGTCCATTTACAAACATTCCCTGGCTCTGAGATCTTATCCTGAGCACACAGAGGGAGGATAATTTCCTCTGGTAGATTCAAAACCTCCGCTGGCCACCTGTCCCCCTAAACTTGGAGCTCTTCCTTGAGAGCTGGTGAATGCCACCCGCAGTATTTCAAGGGAGTCTTCCGTACCTCCTCCCTGCAGTCCTGCCTTCCTGCTCTGAGCTCATGCCATAGGATCAGTATTTGGCAAAATGCTAGAACTGGCAGTTTATTTGGGGGCATGGGGGCTGGTCATAGCTTTTTTTTGCTTGGGCCCATCCTCCCCACCACACTAGCCCCACAGCAGCACCCACAATTTATACCCCTCACCTTCCTGTGGGCCCATCTCCCCCACTCAGGGAGGACAGTTTTATGATACACCAGGCAACCAGGACTGGTTGACTGTACTACCCCCTCTCAGAAGGACATGCATTTTAATGCTTTCAAAGCATTCCATCAGTACCTGTTTTCAAAGGACTTGTGCATATGGTGTTTTCATTTACTGCTCACATCAATCGCATAAGACTTCCAAGGCCAGAATCATTTTCCCAGCCTGAGAGATGAAGAAATAAAAAAGAGGACACCTTGCTTGCCCAACATAAATCACACAGCTAGCAAGTTGCAGATTAGGTCTTGAACTCAGGTCTGACTGTAAGATCTGGGATCTTTTCATTATACAAGGCTGTCTCTCGTCTGGGAGGAGGCCTAGAGAGAAAGCAATGGTAACCCAAAGGGACAAAGGGAAGACTAATGGTGAACCATCAAGCGCTGTGGCTGCAGTGGATGGGGGGACCCAGCACCTCTTCAATCGTATCATATAGATGACTTTCTATACATGAGGTTATGTCTGGGCCCTCCATTCCAGTGCCCATTCTTGGGCATGACCCTGGCTCTAGTCCAATCCCAACTTTCCCTCTCCCAAGTTAAACTCAACTATTTTGTGTCTCATTTTATCTAGGCTTTATGAGATGACCAGTAAACTCACCTATAGAACTAATCTGGGCTAGGGTGTTATAAATGCTGGTTAATGGCTCAGTGCAGAACCCCTCCCAAATCATATGCATGTTGTGACAGAGGCTTCTAATGCCTTAACTCAAGGGTACTGTGTACAGCAAGGATTTCAAGTAATGAACCAGGCCACTGAGGGCAATATCACTGGGCAAATGGAATTCTCAGGTCTCTAACTTATGCCACCTACGTGACCATCTATTCTGCCTAATTTAGGAATGTGAGATGAAATATAAGATGTCCAATTAAACTTTATTTTCAGATGAATAACAAATACTTTTTTTGGTATAAACATGTCCTAAATATTGCATGGGACATAGTTACGCTAAAAAATTATTTGTTGTTTATCTGAAGTTTAAATTCACTGTGCTTCCTGTCTTTTTGTTTGCTAAATCTGACAACCCAAGCTTAATTATAAGACCTGTCCCACTGAGAATCACCATCAAATAGTGACTACTGGGCATCTGCTTGCTTGTGACACTTGCTTTTAAACTGATCCTATAACATAGAACACTATGCTGGAGAAGTGGGGGCGGTGAGGGAGAAAGAGAGACAACAGACATGGAAACAGAAAAGTGTCCCATCATGAGACTGATCTTAGTCACCTGTACATCACATAAATGTAATGTCACTAGGCCTTTTAGAAAATAGAACTAGTCCTACTGTCCTATTTGCCTCTCATCACAATCTACGTACGCCCCCCATTTTGCTGTGCTATTCTGCTCTATTCTATTCTGCTCTTTGATAAATAAGAAATGAACACGTTTTGGCAAAAGCCAGGCCCTATGTTCTCCAAGAATTATCTGGTCCTCAGAAGGCATATCACAAGCAAACAGCAAGACGGGCGGAGGGTGCAGCCAGGCTGCTGCAGACAGAAGGGCTGCCCAAATGTAATTAAGCATGAGGCGCAGACCCTAGGAGTCACAATGGGAAAAGTTCCATGACCAAAAAAATATTAGGGAAGTGAAGTGGAGAATGTTTACAAGCCTAATTGCACAACTCTAGAATTAAAAATTTTGCCAATATCAGGCAACTTTGTGGACTGACATTATGGAAGCTAAACCTGGCCCAAGGATAGAGGTGGCTCTAGGCTCTCACTAGTTGGCCCAGCCCTGTGGCTAAAGCACCTACCAAGACACTCAAATTGAGAAAATGACCAAATTAGAGCACAAATGAGTGAGCTGATTCATATGCAAGAAAATAACAGAGGCTAAGGAATCCAAATTCCAGAAATGAAGCCTTTGAGTAGTAATAAAAATAATAGTAATGATGATAATGATAACAATACCTACACCTTATTGAGCACTTATTATGTGCCAGGCACTGTGCTATGCACTTTACATGAATTGACTCATTTATCCTGACAACAACTCTGTGAAGATTGTCACCCATGTTTCATGAGGCACAGAGAGACTGCAAAATTTAACTGATTCACCTAACTATTGAATGATGAGGCAGAAAATAAAACCTAGGCAGTTGGAGAGCAAAGCCTACATGTTTAACCACTAGGCTCTACCATTTCTCTAATCTGTTTTTGAAGAGATTTTTCCCAGAGTGGGATGGATTTGCTGAGCTCTTCCCACCACCTTTTCCTGGGTCTCACTGGTACAAGGGGCACTCGTTTGTCAAACAGGCAGAAAGTTTAAGGATACTCTTCACAGATGTAGGACAGAAGGAGCCTAGTGACCTGAGTACCACCATGTTCTAATTAAATGAACTAACCACCACTGGGCTCTTGAGGGTATCCTAGAACTAAGATTTAGGGTGTGAATTACATGTACACGAGAGAGGTCATACATATCTGCTATTACTTTGGAACCTGGAAGAAATGTTGATCATTAAAGTCTGCTGATCTCTTAGTTATCCTTTAAGGCACATCTTAACACCTCTTCCGTGAATCCTTCCTCATACTCCCAGATGGAAGTGTTTATTCCTTTGGGTTCCAAATATGCTTTTTTTTCTCCATCATTATGTCCAGCACATATCTGTCTCTCCCATAAGAATATAAGCATTTTGAGGCCAGGGATTATTTTATTCATATTTATATATGGCATGTATTTCCCCCATACATACACATTGAGTATTTGTTAAACAAATAAAGCTAATCTAATCGATTGTTTTACATCTGAGAAGACAAAGGCCCAGAGAGGGGAATCTTACTTACCTAAGATGACACAGCAGTTCAATGGCTGTCTTTTGACTCCCAAGCCATTACTCCATCTACTATCCAAGGATGCATTTCTGGAGATTCTAAATGGCTTCATTTTCTCTTTTCCATATTCTTGCTCTTATAGTGCATTTGTTTTTACTTCTGGAACCTGCTGGTTCCAAGCTTTTTCAAAGCTCATTTGGAAAACGGTCATTCTGATTACTCTCCCTACAATCTACTCTCCTACCTTGAGATCACTTTTTCTACCCTCTCCATAAAGTCCCTATATAGGTGATGATTTTCAGAATATTACATTTATTTAATTGACAGAGATGCAGCTGAGTTCTGTATGACAGCTGAGCAACACAGGATCCCTCCCCCTTTCCTCCTTCACTCAGCCATGAACAGATGAAAATTCTAGTGTGGTATAGCAGGCACTGCACTAAAACAATCCATGAATTTTATCTCATCTCATCCTCACAATGACCCTATGATGTAGGCAGTATTACTGTTCCCATTTTTCAGGTGAAGACACAGAGGCTCAGAAAGCTTAAGTTATGTTCCCAAGGTTACACAGCTAGTAGGTGACACAACTGGAATTTGTACCCAGGTAGTTTAACTACAGTCTCCACGCTCTTAGTGTTTACATGATCCCCTATGGAACATCTGACATAATGCTGCCAGAGGACTTTTCCTAAGATATATCATTATTGTGTTTTTTCCTACTGCTTCCACAGCTATGCCTCTAGGGTTGTGTATTAGACACAGTATGGTAGCTACTAGACACATGTAGCTATTTAACTATAACTTTAAATTAATAACAAATAAAATTTAAAATGCAGTTTCTCAATCCCACTAGCCACATCACAAGTACTCAAAGGCTATATACACATAGTGGCTACAAGCTTGGACAGTGCAAGAATATTTCCATCACTGCATTTTGTTTCTGCAACGAAAATTCTATTGTACAGCACTGCTCTAGAGATTAAAGCTTGAACTCCTCTGCCTGGTATTTCAAGTGTTCTACAGTCTGGTTTCTACCAACTTTTCAGCAGAAAGGCAGAAAACAAGGAAATGAGGCTGAGTAAATGAGCAGAAGTCTGAGGATGAAGTGTCTACTATGCCACACTGAGGAAGTAAAGTCTCATCATGTAGGACAGAATGTATTTCCTCCTGGAGAATAGATAGATCTGACTCAAAATCACCTCTCTGAGGAAGCCTGAATAAATAACCAGAGAGGTCTGAAGATCATGTCACCCTGTTGATTGGGTGTTCCCCAGCAGTGACAGGAAGGGTTCCAAGACTTATACAAAAGACAAAGATCACACATTCAAAATGGAATCAAAGGACTATGCTCAAATCACACCTCTGCTAATTATTAGCTATATGATGCTGGCACTGCCAGATAGCATCATTGAGCTTGTTTGATCTGTGAAATAGAGCCAATAATATCTATTCTCTAGATTTTCATGACAAGCAAGTAAGATAATGAGGAAAGTGAGATAATAGTCTGGGGTGAGACCTAGACTTTAAATTCCCTCATGTGATTCTAGGGAGTGCTAGGGTTGAAAATCATTGAACTAGATGATCTCTGAGGTCTCTTCTAGCTTTAAAATTCAAGTTTTGACCCACAGTAAGAAAGTCAACAGTCACTTTGGACAAAATACTCACCTAGGTCCATCCCCAGCACGCTGCAGGCTTCACATGCAGTCAATGCTCAGCCATTATGGATAGCCCAGATTTCCAGGTAAAGCAGCATCTTTGATGAGAATGCAGGAGTGGTTCCATGTGTAATGGTGAACACTCTGGACTCTGATGAGAGTACAGGGTCAGTGTTGGCTTCTTGGAAGAGTCCCTCCCCAGCAGTGACAGATGCACCCAAAACACCCAGCCCATAACTACTAAAACCACCAATGGTTTTATTGTCCTCAAAATGAGTCATTTAAAAGAGCCAATGGGCCCAGCCATCTGGCCCTGCCGAGCCGCAACCCACCGACCCATGAATTGGCCTGGCTTTCGCGTGCACCATGTCTGGTTCCTCCAGCATTGCCACTATGAAGAAAGTGGTTCAACAGCTCCGGATGGAGGTGGGGCTCAACTGTGTTAAAGTTTCCCAGGCAGCTGCAGACTTGAAACAATTCTGTCTGCAGAATGTTCAACATGATCCTCAGCTGACTGGAGTATCTTCAAGTACAAATCCCTTCAGATTCCAGAAAGTCTGTTCCTTTTTGTAAGAAAATGAATCTTTCAAAGGTTTCCCAAACCATTTCTTATGAACTGGTGAATATTCAAGAAACAACTAAATTTGAAGCCTGTACAAAAGCTTAGCCTTATAACAATACATGTGCCATAATATGCAAACTTCTACTTTTGTCAGTACTTAACATCTACCTCTCTGAATTTTCATGAACTTCTATTTCACAAGGATAATTGTTTTATATACACTGGTGGCTGCATACAATAAAATACTTAAATAAAATAATAAAATAAAATAAAATAAAAAATAAAATAAAAAAATAAAATAAAAATAAAAGAGCCAATGAATATTAACCCCCAGTCAGGTGTATAGTTTAGAAATATTTTCTTTCTTTCTGTAGGTTGTCTCTTCACTCTGTTTATTGTTTCCTTTGCTGTGCACAAGTGTTTTAGTTTGATATAATCCCATTTGTCTAATTTTTGCTTTTATTGCCTGTACTTTTCAGGTCTTATCCAAGAATTTTTGCCCAGTCCAATGTCATGAAGCATTTCCTCTGTGTTTTCTTCTAATAGTTTTATAGTTTCAGGTCTTACATTTAAGCCTTTAACCCATTTTGAGTTGACTTTTGTATTATCATGAGAGATAGAGGTATAATTTTATTCTTCTCCATGTGGAGACCAGTTTTCCCAACACCATTTGTTGAAGAGACTGTCCTTTCTCCATCCTGTGTTCTTACCACTTTAGTTAAAAATCAATTGACCTTAAATACATGGATTTATTTCTGGGATCTCTATTCTGTTCCATTGGTGTATGTGTCTGATTTTAGGCTAATTCCATGCTGTTTGGGTTATTATAGCTTTGTAGTATACTTAGAAGTCAGATAGTGGGATGCCTCCAATTTTGTTCTTTTAGCTCAAGATTGCTTTGGCTAATTGGGGTCTTTTGTAATTCCACATGAATTTTAGAGTTATTTCTTCTATTTCTACAAAGAATGTCATTGGCATTTTGATAGGGATCACACTGAATCTATCCATCACTGTAGATAGTATTAATTACATTAATTAATAACCATTTTAATAATTATTCAATTTAATAATTACTTACATTTTAACAATATTAATTCTCCCAATCTGGGAACATGATATATCTTCCTATTTATCTGTATCTTCTTCATTGTGTTAAGTGAAATAAGCCAGACACAGAAAGACAAATACCGCATGATTTCACTCATATGCGGAATCTAAAAATGTTGATCTCATAGAAGTAGAGAGTAAAATAGTGGTTAGCAGAGGGTAGGAGGGGATTACCAGAGGAGGAGGGACTGATGGGAAGAAGTTGGTCAAATGATACCTAACTACAGTTAGACAGGAGGAAATAATTTTAAGAGCTCTATTATACAGCAAAGTGACTATAGTTAATATTATATTCTTAAATATTTTAGTATATTGTATTTTAAGTATGTTATTTTAAGATATAAATATGTATCTTATTTTAAGTATATTGTATTCTTAAAAAATGTAGAGAGTGGATGTTATGTGCTTTCACAACAGAAATTATGACCATGTGATACATTTGTTAATTAGCCAGATTTAATCATTCTACAATGTATATATACTTCAAAACATTATGTCATACATGATAAAACATACAATATTATCTGTTAATTTTAAAAAATTAAATTAAAGCCAATGGAGCCAATGGATTTGGAGTTTGGATGTTGGCTCCTAGGTTTCTTCTATCACACAGAATTGCTTTATTTCAAGGAAATGGAAGTTACAAAACAGCAGGCAGATGGAAGTACATAGGTATGCAAGGTGAAGAGGGCTGAGAGGAACTGGCAGAGAGAGGGAGTAATGGGAGGGGAACATTCTAATTCAGATAGCATCCCTTCAAGCCCCAGTAGAATATCACAATAAAACCTGATTTCCCAGCATTTTGATCCTCCGAAGACTTCTCTATTAGCCAGTCCTTCTGCACATCAACAGCACATAGAAACCTGGCGTTCCACCTCATGGCTCAGGAACCCTTCGAGGCCTTGAAGTACCTCTTTAAATTACCAAAGAAAGATAAAATTATGCCCAACCTGATACAACATTATTAATTATATTTTGCTTTATATTCACAATTTGAAAATTACAAATCCCTATAGAATGAATAGGAAAGCAGTCTGTTAAACTAGACTATTTGATGAATCAAATAGTCAGGGCATCATATTCCTAACGGTGCATAAAACTGAAAGTTCACAGGATTGTAGGCATTTGTAACTCCATCTTGCAACCACAGAAAAAGAATCAAATGGAGATCAACAGCTCTCACTTCACAAATGAACGTCATAGTTCCAAAAAGGGCTCCCAGGGAAAATCAATCATCATTTTCTGGATTCTCAATCATAACCACACTTCTGAGTTCATCTCAAAAAAACACCCAAGGTTCTGAACATCGAAATCAAAACATACAAACATTTCTTCTTTCCACTATATTCTCACTTTATTTCTTATTCAACTGTTGCCTTTTAAGGTGCTTTTGGGTTTGGCTATCAAACTGATTCTATGTCAGAAAGGCAAATTAAATCCACTCACTTTTTTATTATTAAAAATAGGCAGCTGAAGATTAGTTTATCAAAATTCCCAGGGAATGAACTATTCTAAATAAGAGAATCTTCTGATAAACAATTTTGTTGAAACTAAAAGAATGTTGAAACAACTCATTTAATTTGGTCTACTTTTGGAAAATTTTCTGAAATGTCTGATTTCATCTCCCACCTTAAAAATACCATTGAATACTTTGCATTTGAGGCTCTTACAGGGTCTTTGAGTTATTATTTTAAACATCCATTGTGAATATCCAGGGTTAGAAATGAAGGTAGATAAGGCTATTCATGAACTGAGCTCTGGACACAGATTTGATGAAATCTCCAATTTCAGAATTTTATTGTTTATTGCCTCTTTTAAGTCAAGGATATGGCAAGAGGACAATTCTGTTATTTGAAGGTTCTGGTTCAACAGAATTTAATGTAACAATACTTTCAACTTTTCCATACATTTTCACTCCTGGAATCACTTGATCTTCATTATACTCTTGGGAGGCATACTCCTTATTTTGTAGACTGAGGCCTAGAGATTCTAAGGGACTTGCCCAAGGATGAGATTGGTTTATCAAGTTTCTGAACTCTTAGTCCAGTGTTCCTTTCAATACACCACACTGTGATATCCACGTCAATTCTACTTTCACTTTATTTGTGTTGATTTTCTCCCAAGCAGGCCACACTCAGCTCAGCTAATCTCACCACAGCGGGAGCAATATCTGAATACGTACTCAACTTTTGTAGCACTTAGAATAGCTTAGGTGAAAGTCATGGCTAAGATAATAACCGTTGCCAGAACAGTGTCCTTAAGCACCCCAGCTGAGAGCTATTTATTTTGCATAATATGATCTTGGCATACTAAATGTTCATTTGCATCTTTACATTGAGGACACTTCACTTGTCTGTGGCATCATTGTCTGTGGGGACATATTTTCTTTAGAAGGTTTTAGTGTCTCTAACAACACACTGCTGGACTTCTGAGTGGCCAAAGAATGCTAATATTTGAAAAGAAGGAGGAATCCATTTTGAGATTGCTCATGTGTCCTTTAAGTAATAAAAAGAAATTATCTCCATTTATCTTTATAGTACTTTTATAAAATTGGTAAAGCAGGTGTCAGGATCCCATTTTACAGAAGTGCATCCTGAGGTTCAGCTATGTTGTTATGGTACCCTAAACCCAGCCACACATCCCTTTCCCCTATCAGTGATCTGATGATCACTGATCATCAGAATGCCCTGGAAGCTTGTTACAAATACCTCCTTGATATCCTGAAAATTGTCTGCCCTAATAATTTCATAAGATTATTGTAAAGGTTGGCTGATATAATTTTAATTTTATTACTGAAAATGAAGTAATTAAGATACTAGAGAATGGCAGCTGCTTACAGCAACGTTTTCACACTGTGATCAGCACCATATCCCACAGTGGAGATTAGGTGGGGATGGGGACACAAGATGCAGAGGACACAGATTTTGACCTTGGAGAGTTTATAAGGCAATTGGTTGCTTCCAGGAGTCCTCAAATTTTTTAAACAGGGAGCCAGTTCACTGTCCCTCTGACCGTTGGAGGGCTGTTGGAGAGCGGCGCACATTCCACACATGCACACTGTGGGCCCCCGGGACCAGTTGGCTGCTAAGCAGGACAGGCAGCGGTGGCAAAAACACCCAGCGGACCAGATAAATGTCCTCGGTGGGCCACATGTGACCTGCGGGCGGTAGTTTGAGGGCCCCTGGCTTAGACCAGCGGTTCTCAAACTCTAGCATGTATCAGAATCATCTAGAAGGCTTGTTAAAACATCAATGTCTAGGCCCCAGCCCCAGTATTTCTGCTTCTAAGTAGGTATAGAAGGGAGAATCTGCATTTTTAACATGTTATCAGGTGATGCCAATGCTGCTAGTACAAAGAACACACTTTTTTTTAAGGAATGCACTTTGAGAACCACTAGCCTAGGCATCATTTAAAATCCTATGTCTTTCTTAGCTGTTAAAAGGGATATTTCAGAATATATGTGTAAAAAAACTTACAAGAAAAGGAAACAGAACAATTGGTGGTGTTCTATTGTCTCCCCTGTGTCCTCCTCCTCTTTCCTTTCACTACCCATACAGGGTCACATGTCCATGCACCTCAGTCACTGAAAGAAATCTTCCTGACATCTGAAAAACAATCTCATTTTCTTACCACAAATGCACTGGCTGGCACCATTTCAAATGAAAACATTTTCTTCCTTCACTGCCTGGTTTCTCTAGAAATAGAAAAGCCCTCTGCTTTAGAGTCTAGAAGGAAGCAGCAGAGAGGACCACTTCTCTCCCCACTGCATAAGGCAGCCCTTCTCGTAGTCTGACCCCCCCAGACGAACAGTGGCAGAATCACTTGGTGTATTTATTAAAGATGGAAATACAGTGACCCACTGCAAACCAAGTGAATCAGAATTTCTAGATGTGAGGCCTATGAATCTGGAGTCTTAAGGGCCTTGGGTCATTGGGCATTTCTGAGGTACACTGAGGTTGAAGGACTAGTAGTAAAAGGATTTTCCTAACATTAAGTTTGGACAAAGACACTAAGGAAAGTTTCATTTCTCT